TCCCCTTGCCCTTGTCAGAGAAAATTGACAGTGTGTACTCTCACAATGACTTACTTAGCTGGGACCTAGATCGTGTATGGCACGCATAGACGGGTTGTTTAGCTTTGTCAGCATCTGTGCTCGCGTGAGGTAGATGCTTCGAAACTCTCTGGTGAAGTGTCGAATCCGTAAGGCACGTTGTGGATGCAGCAACATTCTTTTGGCGGTCGTTCATCGTTTTAGTTCTGCCAAAGCTGGCATACAACCAATTAAGGTAGATGAGCTATCTCATGAACTTTTATCAGAATTTCTGGAATTTGTTTTTTTATTCGAAATGATTACTTCAGTAGAGTCGTACTACTAATCACCCTGCAAACTAATCCAAAGGTATTTCAGTCACGACCGGATGCCGGCTTTTAAATGAGTTTATTACTGGTCGCGGTCCACAAAAAAAACACCCTGTAAAAAATGACTACTTACGCAGCATACTTTTTGCCATGGATTTTCGAAGTCACTATAAATTAAAATACATTTCCTGAAAAAATGCATAACATTATTTTCTTATTTACTCATTTAGTAAAAAAAATCTCGTTTTATTAACATTCCTTACTCGAAGTAAGGTTATTTACTAATTTGAATTTTCTTCCAAATTCCTGAATAACTGAGAAATCAACCTGATGTTACATCTGCATCCTGAATTTTGAAATAACAGGCTAGGTATTTTCCACCTAAGGAAAAGGAAATATTTATCTTCGTTATTAAGAAGTGCTAAGATAGGGCTTGTGAAGGCTTGCAGTGACTATGCTCCACAGAGCATCCTTTGTTAGCAGCAAATGGAAGATGGAAAGGTTCGATGCTTTACGAATGGACACTTCATAGTCTTAAACATGCAGTAGCCAAATGTTACGAAGTTTGTCCTTCATAGGTGGTTAGAAGGGAGTTCCTTCAAAAAGCCGGCACTCTAACGTTACTGAAATATCTTAAGATCAAGTTGCATGATGATCAATATTACAACCCTACACTTTGTTCGAATCAAAAGCACATTTGAGAAATAAGGTTGACATTTCATGAGATCGATCATCTTCTGTATCTCGTTGAATGTTAACCGAAAGCATAAAGTGTGTTTTTAATTAGAAAATAGCATGCAAGCAGATTTAATAAATGATTTATCATACAGTATAATTTCAACATATTTAAGTCACTTCATGATACTAGCTTTTGAACCAACATCTTTTCGGCCGCCTCCATAGAGAGCTACTTATGTGGTATGCGGTTTTCCATCGGCTTTTAATGTTCTTATAAATTGTAAAATATTTTATTTAAAAAATACATAAATAGCTGATGTATTGTACTCATTTAGTGATAAACTAAATTTTCTTTAAATTCTATACTTGAAAAAGCTTTCTTCTAATTAAAAAAACTTTCTAAATTTTTGAATAACTTTCAATCCAACCCGTTGTTGCACTAGCCTCCGTGGTTTCAATACTACAAGCGGTAAAGATGCTCTTACAGTTATCTACGTTAGCAAGAAGAAGTGATATAGCTCTGGTGAAAGACGGCACCGCATATAGTATGCTATACAAGCAGCACTAATAAGTGTAACGATATGATGTTTAATGAACGGTCTTAAAATGATCATAATTAAGAACTTTTTAAATACCCAATGCGCCCTCATTTCAAGTATGACCTTTTAAAAGGAGGTATTTTCCCAACTTAAAGCATACATTGAACACAATTTTGTGCATATTTGCTAGATAATATACGTAAATTTATAAGGACAATGAAAATCCATATAAAATGCATACTATCTAAGTAGCCCTTTTTACAGAGTGTCGTTGTTGCATGCGGTCAGAAGGGAGCATGTTAGAAAGCCAGCATCCTGTCTTGACTGAAATATCTCGGTATTGGGCTGCAAGATATTTAATCTTATAATTCTACTTGAATAATATTTTATAATCGAAGTCACGCTTCATAATTTCAGTTAACATTAAATAGGATAAAAATCTTCTGCACTTTACAATGGTTCTATGTCAGCCAATTCCTTTACTGAACATCGACGGCGTGCTGTGCTAATTGGCTAACTTTTTCCCTTCTTTTCGGTTAGATTGCGGAAATCAATACGGCACAGTTTGACAGTGCAATGCGATGGCGCCTGGAATTCGTCCCTCTTCCCCATCACGCGAACTTAATTCCTCACTCTCCCTCCTGTGATTCAGCAAGTGATTTCTCCTCAACAATGCCTCATTTTTATACCAACACAATCCGAACCGATCACCCCGCCTTCCACAACAACACTTCCTAATTCTTTCCATTCCACTGAGCCTCGAGTTCAGAGAGGCACCACCCATTGTACATATATGTGTGCGGACCACCACAGTTTAACAATGTTTGGCCGCGCAAAAAAAACTCGAGCCTTTCGCACCCCTTTTGGACATGTTGACTAATTTTGTTTTTTCTACCAAATAAACTCTCTTTTTGACTGTTCCCGATCTGACAAAGCCGTCGAACTCATTTTCCCCATCTCTCGTTTACCTGGAGAGTATGTTCTGGCGACAGTTAGTTTCGCACGCGAAGAAGTTCAGACATCATCAGTCGCATTAAGGTTAAAAATCGACCGTATCTAGCCGACTATGGAAAAAAGTGAGTGAGATTGGTTAATTTGACAGAGAATGGGTTACGCTAAATGCGGAACTGCGTTGGTCGAAGGTCAAGGTTCAAAATTAAGCACAGTAAAGGAGGGGGGAGACAGTGTGACGGGGTTGGCTGATAGGTACCCATGCAGAACAAAGTTGTGTTATCTATCCCGTATTAAAAACATAGATGGCTCTGCAATTGAATTCGGCATTCATGGCGGTAGCAGCTTCACAAGTGAACAGTTGTGTTCAGAGGCATGTCGTGTCCAGCAAGAGTTTGCACCGCCGCTTTTACCGTCAGTGAACGACCTCAGGTATTGTTAATTGAAATGCGTAAATGGGCTTACGGTAAGGACGAAGAACTTAAAACGGGTTTTAATATGGATTATTGTCCAACAAAATCCCAAGATATTTCAGAAACACCGGGATTAAAGTATTGCATATCGACTGTCAGCAAAAATGGCACTTCGAAAAAATAAAACTTTAGCTAGTAGGTGTTATGACCTGCGCCTGGTCCTTGTATGTAACAGAAACTGTGGGCCTGCTCGACTATGGTCCTCAAAGCCAGCACGGTAGAGGAAGAGAAGGCAATCGACCACGACGAACGCTGTATTCACAGATAACAAGTCCTTCTAATAAAAAGAGGGCTGTGTGTATTTATAGCATTCGTTTGAAGAGAAAAAGCCGATAGACTGATCACAGACATAGACCACTCAGACCTGGCGAGAGATCGTTAGCCACGGTCTAGGTGCATGTTATTATAGCAGACAGCGTAGCAGCTCATGCGAGCGCCTTCCTGTGCGATGAATAATCGTGACAATGGAGGCATTCCCAACAGTATGAATGTGCCCATTGATTTTTAATGCCCCTATAAATTTAACAACAATAATTTATTGAAATAGTAAACAACAGTACTTACTCTTTTGCTAATTTTGTAGCAAATTACGTCTTTTTTTCAAATGTTATGCTTATGGGAAGATCATCCTATGATTTTTAACAAAATTACCGATTAGAAAATAATTTTGTGTCCAATTTGCCGTTGAATTTGCGTTTAGGATTTTCCATCTTCAAGCTGCCTGCCTTCCGTGTTGGCAAATTTTACACCCCTTCATGCCATTAAGAACATATCCTAAAGGGTTAATAACATTTTGACCTTCATGTGGACCGTTTTGTAGACTTCATAAACGGACGGATAGGATGCCCTTTGAATGAACATTGCACGGTTTTTGCGAACACCGCGAGTATAAGTTTTCAAAAACTAGATATATCGTGCCTTCGGATATGATTGGCTACAAAATAAGTAAAAGAAAGAATATGTTGGCTAAGGTTTTCTATTGAATATCTTTGAATTTCCAAGGGCATCGAAAATAATTCGAAAAAAGCATACTACTTATGTTACCGTTTTTCCCAAGTGCCGTCTTTGCAGGCAGCCAAAAAGAAGTACGTTCAATAGCCGGTATC